TTTTCAGGACTCATTTTAAGATTTTTATTTGTTTTTAAGTCTTTGAATGGTCTTGCTCCATTGTATCTTGCTGAGCTTTTATTTCCTTATAGTCCCTCCCGGTGCCTCAGATCAGCTGACCAGCTCTTGCTGGAGGTACCAAGGGCCAGGCGTAAACTCAGAGGGGACAGAGCGTTTTCCATTGTGGCTCCTAAGCTATGGAATGCGCTGCCCCTTTACATCAGGCAGGCCCCCTCGTTGGCTATTTTTAAAACTTACTTGAAGACTCACTTGTATGCTTTGGCGTTTGATATGCTATGAGACTCTGTTTGGGCTGTGTTTTGGTTGATAGTATTTTGTTATTTTGCTATGTTGGTTCTTTTATGTTATTTTATTGGTATTTTAATATTGTAGTTGTCACGTTTTTAGATGTTTTGAATTGTATCTTATGTTAAGCACTTTGTTGGCCTCGGCTGTGTTAAAGTGCTTTATAAATAAAGTTGAGTTGAGAGTTGAGTAGGTGGACAATTTGAGAAAAAAAACTGTGAGAAAAATCCTGCTGTGTGCTTCACTTGACAGCCTCCCCCAGCGCTGCATTCTCAGCCTCTGCTGGTCTGCTTTCCATCCCTCGATCTCATCCCATTCACAGACGCTGCATTCTCTCTCTGCAGGCAATGCAGCTGTGGTGAAGCCGTCAGAGCTCAGCGAGTATTCATCCCTCCTCCTCCGGGCACTGCTGCCTCGCTATCTGGACAAGGTTTGAACACAAGCTGCTACTGTTAGAAGAATAACACCAAAGCCTTGTGCCAACACAATTACAATACATAACAGATTTGATTCCAAGGCCAAGTGGCCAAGTCCCAGATGAACTACAAGAGCCAATGTGTTAGCAAGGACCTGTAAGTAAACTGCTGAATAGAATGGAATAGAATGCCCTTTATTGTCATTGTACCAGTACAATGAAATTATAAAAGTTACAACTGTACACAGTGTAAGCTGAAGTGCAAGCAAAGCACCAAATATTCCAAATAATAAAATCACAAACACATCAATAATAAATAGCAACAATAAAAATAACTAACATGGTCCACTAGTAATGTAACAATCCTATGAGGAGTTCAGAGTCCTGATGGCCCAGGGGAAGAAGGTGTTTGCAAGTCTGTTTGTTCTGCTTTATATGCTCCTATACCGCCTACCGGAGGGCAGTAAAATGAGCAGTGAGCGACTAGTATGGGAGGAGTCGTGTATGATTTTCCTTTGCTGAGGCACTGGGAGTGATAGATGTACTCCAGGGAGGGCAAGAGAGCAGCCAATGATTTTCTCTGCTGTGACTATTACCCTTTGCAGAGCTTTCCTGTCTGATGCTGTTCAGCTGGTATACCACACAGTTATGCATTGTCCTGTGACAGTCTCAAGTTTTTTTGGAGCAGCCTCAGGACGTGCAACCGCTGCTGGGACTTTTTAACCACCGCTTGAGTGTTAGCTGTCCAGGAAAGGTCCTCTGAGATGTAGATCCCCAGGAATTTGAAGGTGGAGGCCCTTTCCACAAGGTTCCTGTTGATGTAAAGTGGAGTTGGATCCACCCTGTGCTTCCTGAAGTCAACAGTATTTGAACCAAATAAACAACTTTGCGTAATATATAATATCACAATAGGGACTGGTTACACAAGCACAGGCTATGGGGGAGAAGTGAAGGTCATGCAGCTTGTCGATCAATATACTTGGGATGATTGTATTGAATGCCAAACTATATTCAACAAACAGCATCCTCACATAGATCCCTGTGTTCCAGATGGCTCAGCGCTATGTGGAGGGCTGTAGTAATGGCGTCTACCGTGCATCTATTTGCCTTATAAGAAAACTGGTCAGGGTCAAATGTTGTAGGGAGTCTGGCTTTGATGTGCTGTGTGATGAGTTTTTCAAAACATTTCATGACTACTGATGTAGTGTAGTCATTGAGGTTCTTGATGGCTGTTTTTTGGGGACCGGGATGACAGTGGCTGACTTTAGACAGGGTGGAATGGTAGCTTGTGTCAGGGACATGTTAAATGTCTTGGTGAGGATATCTGCCAGCTGATCAGCACAGGCTTTTAGTGCCTTTCATTTGGGAAATATTAAATGTTCCCTGTCCAGAACATCTAATCCCTGTCCATGGTTTAGTAGGTCTTGCTCAGTCTGTCCAGCACTTCTATCCAGAAGGAGATATCTTGACAAGTACTTGCCTGTTTACCAGGAAAGCTTTTATCTATCTATCTATCTATTTAAATTATTGTATTATTAATGCAAATGATTTAGTGATTGCTTGGAACTTTAATAAATGGCAAAAGGACAAAGAAAAAGTGGTTTAGCATCCTTTCAAACAATTAAAAGAAAATAATTTCTGGCAGAAAACCGGGTGTGTTCAGCCATGTAGTCATCTGCACCTATGCTTGACCAACTGAAAATACTTCTTTCAGCAAATTTTAAAGTCAAAAGAAGTTTGATAAATATAGTTTTTAAACATGAGTCTATGAATAGGTGTAAAAGTGAAGGATTTTCACTTTTGTTTTTCATTTAGCGCTTTAAATATGTTTGGGCCCAGGTTTCACACTTGAAGATGGAACCTAAGCAGCAGCTTAGTAAACATGTGTGTGCTCAGTGGCACCAAATGCCACTGAGCACAGCACACTGTCAGAATGTGACAGTAGCCCATTTTCATACACAAAGCAATTCAAAGTGCTTAACACAATGCACACAGATAGAACATTAAAAAGTATACATAGATAAAACATTAGAATGCAAATTAGCAATAACAAGGCAACAAAGTAGTAACATGCAAGTGTAGGTACCTAGTATTTCTAGGACATCTGTGGCAGACTGTGGCTTCCCACTGCTCTATTATACTTTGTACCCCTTTGAGAACTAGTACCAAAATCTGTTCTGATATTTAATGTCAAAATATTTAGACACTCACACAAATTGTTGCCACAGAGGAATGGAGATGCTAACTGAGTGCTGTTTATTTTCAGGATCTGTATCCAGTGGCAACAGGTGGCGTGTCAGAGACTCAGGAGCTGCTGAAGCAGCGATTTGACCACATCTTCTACACAGGCAGCAGCACAGTTGGTAAACTGGTGATGGAGGCTGCCGCTCATCACCTCACCCCAGTAACCCTGGAACTCGGGGGGAAGAGCCCCTGCTACATTGACAAGAACTGTGACATCAGAATTGCCTGCCGGTACCACACTCATCGGTGTCACCCATACCACCAGCAGTCGTACACACAGCTGAAAAAATTGTGTAGGGCTCAGCTGACAACGTCATCACTTCTTGTTTAGGCACTTGGGCCTCAGGGTTTGTCCTCAGAATGCAGCACTGTGCACTGCAGCCTGAAATGAATTACAGGCCTTAACATGCTGCCACTAGAGTTTAAAATTGATGACCTGTGGAGAGTTCACTTGTTCAGCAAAGAGGCAGAAGCTTTAATTGCTAGAGCTGTTAAAGTGTATGCTAAAGTCTTAGCATGTCGCCACATGGTGTAGCTGTGGATGTGAAGTGTTAGCATGGAGCCCATTATCACAACATTGCATACAGTATGATGACATGTTATTATGGAAGAAAGAAAGTGTCTTGGGAACACAAATTACTTGGGTTTTTAGAGTTTGTGGCATTTAAAAGCCCATGCTGGTGCTTCAGGCAGTACTTGATTGAATTCTTGCCTTATTGCCTCTTATTAGTTCCCATTCATTTCACTATGCTGTGCAGGATATAGTACTTGCGAGACTTGGGCAGACTTGCTCCTGCAGCTGACAGAAAGCTGCAGAACACAAGCCATATTCTACGTATAAAACTACACTCTTGCCATCGTCTTCTGAATTGTATGGCACTACAGTGATTTTTGACAGTTGGTTAACAATTTTCAGATGTAGGAGAATCACCAAGCACAGTACATGCATTTTGAGGGATTACTACTCTGTGTAAAACAAATTTCAAGTCTCTGCAAGTTAATCTTTTAAACTATAGTAAAACACAGAATATAAAACTCAGAGTGATTTGGACAGTGGTTGAAAACAATATAAATGTATTCACATTTGTGGTTTAATATGAAAACTGTTACATTAAAGCACCTACTATACAGAATCACCCCTACCTTCTTTGTGTGCAGTCGTATCACATGGGGGAAGTTTGTCAACTGTGGTCAGACGTGCATCGCTCCAGACTACATCCTGTGTGAACCCTGCATCCAGGGCCGAGTGGTGGAGTGTATCCGACAAACTCTTCTGGTAACATCTCAACTTTCACCTATTCTAATAGTTCATGTAAATAACATTCTGCACTCTTGTCAAGACCTTTTATGCCATTGCAGGAATTTTATGGTGCTGATCCTAAATGCTCACCTGACTATGGCCGAATTATCAACCAGCATCACTTCAACAGAGTCCTGGGTCTGATGGAGGGTTACACTCCTGTGGTGGGAGGCCAGAATGATGCCTCACAGTGCTACATTGGTACAGTATGAAGACTCAGTTTTAATCACTCAGTTCACATCTTACAAAAACACAGTAATGTCTGGTCTATACTTCTGTTTAATGACCACCATTGTTGCACTTAAAGCCCCGACTGTGCTGAAGGATGTGCCCCCCCACTCCAGACTAATGCAGGAGGAGATCTTTGGACCTCTGCTGCCCATAGTGACTGTGAGTGACATGGATGATGCCATTCGCTTTATCAATGAGAGAGAGAAACCTCTGGCCCTGTACATCTTCTGCACTGATAAGAAGGTGAGAGGAAACAGCAGGAAAGTGGAGACTTAAAACAGAATTGAAACACCTCTTTATTTTTCTCATTTCATCTCCCATCTCTCAAAGGCTACAAAAAGGATGATTGAGGAGACCACGAGTGGAGGAGTGACAGTCAATGATGTGCTTATGCACTACACACTCAGCTCCCTCCCTTTTGGTGGTGTTGGTAAGACTGACTCAAAGTCTATTATTGTCTGTGTTTTCTTGGATGGACCTCATCTTGGAGACAGATGCTTAGTAATTCAGTAAAAGCGGTTTTATTTAATTTCTGTCCACTAGGAAACAGAAAAACTTCCAAACAAGCCAATAGAAACACAGCTACCATAAGGCTAACATTTGATTTGATTTTTGATTTGATTTGATCTATTCTTTCAAACATGTAACAACAGTCAATATGTCAACACACATAATTCCACATATATCCACAAATATATTATCAATTTGCTTATACCTAGTACATGCTTGAACGGAGTAGGAAGAAGTTAGACTTATCTAGTCCTACCCCCTAACATCATCTTATCATCATTGGTTTGCAAGCAGTATTACTACATGGATA